GGAGGCTCCTTCTTTGGAAGCTTTTAAACAGAGGCTGGATGGCCATCTGTCAGGGGTGATTTGAATGCAATATTCCTGCTTCTTGGCAGGGGGTTGGACTGGATGGCCCATGAGGTCTCTTCCAACTCTTTGATTCTATGATTCTATGAATGTTTGTTATTGCTTAATTTTTTAATTTGCTTTGAGTTGTATTGTTTTGCTGTTGTTGTGTTGAGGCCTTGGCCTTTGTAAGCTGCATCGAGTCCCTTGGGAGATGCTAGCGGGGTACAAATAAAGTTTAATAATAATAATAATAATAAATAAATAAATTTACCACAAAAAACTGAGAAAACGGATTGACGGATAAGCCGAGGGTGGGAGATGCACCTGCTATGGGTACATTGCAAAATGAAAATAGATACCAATTAAATTACATTAATTGAGGAATCAGTAGGTTGTATATTTTTGAATATTTACAAAAATTGTAATTTAAGATAAGACTGTCCAACTCTGATTAAATGATTATTTACCTTCTTCAATGTAAATGTGCTTATGTAACCTTCCAATTATAATAAAGAGAGTAACATAATAAATGTAATAATAACAACAATAAAAAGAGTAAAATAATGAATGTAGCAATAACAAAAATTATACAGTAAAATAAATGTATAATAATAGAGTAAAATGATAAGTGTAATAATAATAAATAGAATAAAATAATAAATGAAATGAATAATAATAATAATAATAATAATAATAATAATAATAACAACAATAACAACAACAACAGAATAAAATAATAAATAACCTTGACTCTAATATAAGCCGAGGGGGACTTTTTCAGCCTAAGAAAAGGGCTAAAAAACTAGGCTTATACTCAAGTATATACAGTATATATAATTACATGGAAAGTGGGGGAATATTATAAAGATAGGAAAGTAGGAAATAAAGAAAAAAGAAAAGTGAGGGTAAAAAAGAAAGAGAAAAAAGAGAGAGAAAAATAGGAAAACCTTGACTTCCATTCCATTTTCTTGGTTTCTTCTCTATATAACTTTGTAGTCCTGGTTTAAATTTTAATTCTACATTTATCTTTCATCTCTACTATTATTGTCATAGTTGTGAAAAAGGTCCCAATTAGTCCTTTTTAGTATATTACCTGTGTTTGTCCTTAGTAAAAAAGTCAGTTTGGGTGTTATTGAGAATGAGTTCTTAGGGGTAATAGATTACTATTACGCTGCTTGAATATCCCTTATTTGAAATGCTTGGGGTCTTCTTTGTGATCCCTTCACAACTGCATAGGATTTCTTGCCCCAGATATACTTTCCTAGAAGGAAATGTTGCCCAAATTGAATTGATAGAAAGCACCTGATAGCAAGGTGCCTTGACTCCAGGTTTTTGGAAAAATGGAATAAAGAAATACACAGAATCATAGAGTTGGAAGAGACCTCATGGGCCATCCAGTCCAACCCCCTGCCAAGAAGCAAGGCACTAGGACTGTGGCTGCAGATGCTGTTTTTAAAACTTGGAGCAAACCCTCTAACTGATTTATTTGAAAATCACACTCTATGTTCATTGTGCTTCAACCTTTGTCTCGTGTATTTTAATATGTGTATGTTTGTAGTATAGTTATGTGTTAATATGTACTTTTATTATTTTGTGCGGGGATGTGACAACAGCTAGTTAGTAGCCAGCTGCATTAAATCACTACTGACGAAGAGATCATGAGTTTGAAGCCAGCCCGGGTCGAAGTGAGCTCCCAACCATTAATAGTGTAGCTTGCTGTTGACCTCTGCAGCCAGAAAGAAAGTTGCACCTGCCAAGTAGGGAATTTAGGTACCGCTTTATGCGGGGAGGCTAATTTAACTAATTTACAACACCATAAAACCTTCCAGCAGTGTGCAGAAGAATTAGGAAGTACTCCATCAAGGACTCAGTGTCAGAAAGTGGATGGTGAAGCGGCAGCTCCCCCTATGACTAGAATCAAGCATACTCTCATGAAGCCGGAAAGCTGAAATGTTGTGTCTGTCTATATATGTTGTATGTCTAATGGCATTGAATGTTTGCCATGTATATGTGCATTGCAATCCGCCCTGAATCTCCTGTGGAATATAAATACTGCAAATAAATAATAAAATAATAAATAAATAAAAGCATTGCATAAATAAGCATAAAACTGATTTAAAAAATAGAAGGAGTACAAGCGGCTAAATAATTTTTGACCAAAAACAGTCCACAGCAACTGCACTGTCTGTAGCTTTAAGCATTCTTCCTCTGGGCATGAGGCAGGGCATTGTGGGCAAGCATGCAGATGCAGAGTTGTTTGTTCTACTCCACAGTTGCACAAGATGGAGGATTCTTCTAGGTAGTGCCATTTTGCCAGGTTGTCTTTTGATCTCCCAATACCACTTCTGAGCGTGTTCAGGGACTTTCAAGTTGCCCATTCTTGGAGTGCCCCTGGAGGAAGATCCTTGGAGGGGTGGGGGAAGCATCCGATTGGGATTTCCTGGTTTAGTTGCCCAGAGGGACAGAGGGACAGTCTTCCTGTTTCTGAGTGAACACTAAGAGGAGTGGTGGTTCTCATGAAGCTTTTCCTTGATTTGAATCTCCTGGGAGGAGGCTGGTAGCCATACAGTGGGTGGCTTTCACAGTGTTCAACCTAATTTCTCTCACAGTTAGCAGCAATTTCCCGTCACACATGGGGGGGGGGGGCAATGCCAGCTAGCTTGTAGAGTTTATCAACAGGTTTAGGTTTGAGACATCCTGTGATTATTCTACATGTTTTGTTCAGTGCTATTTTCACCTGCTTCGTGTGAACAGACTTGTGACAAACAGGGCAGGCATACTCAACAGTTGAGTAAGACATGTGCTGTTATCTCTCTATCTGACTATGTTGTGCCTTGCCTCAAGCTGAAAGAAGAGGCTGGCAATAAATACATACCAGTAAATAATAATAATATTAATAATATTTAATATATATTTTATAGTTGTATTTTAACTATGTTTTAATATGTGTTTTTATTGATGTATCTATGTTGTGCCCCGCTTCGAGCCAAAAAGAGAGGCAGATAATAAAAATTATATTATTATTATTATTATTATTATTATTATTATTACATTTAATGCAGAGATTTCACTGTATAAGAGCTCATGGTGGTGCAATGGGATAAACTGCTGAGCTGCTGAATATATAAATACTGTATTTAAAAAGCCTGTCAAGGTCCTAAAATAAAACTATGTTCACTTGGAGTCTCTATAATGTGAAAATGGAAGCCTTCAATAATTTAATGCACTTTGCAGCCATTGATTTCCCCATCCTTACTGACAAGAAAGGTCAGCAGTTCAAATCCGGGGAATGGGGTGAGCTCCCACAGTTAGCCCCACCTTCTGCCAACCTAGCTGTTCCAAAACATGCAAATGTGAGTAGATCAATAGGTACTGCTCTGGCGGGAAGGTAACGGCGCTCCATGCAGTCATGCTGGCCACATGACCTTGGAGGTGTCTACAGATAACACTGGCTCTTCGGCTTAGAAACTGAGATGAGCACCACCCCCCCAGAGTCGGACTCGACCAGACTTAATGTCAAGGAGAAACCTTTACCTTTATTTCCACTGTGTATGATTTTATGTTTGCATTTTAACTATGTTTTAATATGTGCGTTTATCAAAGCATCTGACCTTGTTGGGCCCTGCCTTGAGCTGAAAGAAGAGTTGGGTAATAAATAAATTAACAACAACAACAACAACAACAACAAGAATAATGGTATGGTTTTATAGTTGTATTTTAACTATGTTTTAATATGTGCTTTTATAGATTGCTCCAAAAGGAGAGCCAGGTAATAAATACAAATGTACTGCTGTCATTGTTGTTTTTATGCCTCTTTGGGATGACCCTGAGAGCATTTGCACCAGGTCTCCAGTCAGACAAACGGATTCACTGCCTCTGACAGTCATCGCACATTGCAGTACATTTCTATAAAATGGTTACAGTAAATATGGCTGACATTTCTCCTATTAATACAAACAGCGCTTGGCCAGATGGAAACATGGGCGCTGTGTTTCCTAGCAGATGCCAATTATTTATTACCAGAATATATGGCTATTTTGGGAGTCTTGAGTTCCAGTCAGTGCAACTGTGGGCAAGGGGGGCTTGTTTCTACCTCCAAAAAACTGAAAATAACGTCAACAAAAACAGGAAATGAGCCCTGAATTGCTCGACTAATTATCTGAAAAGGAAGAACCAGGCCTTGCTTTTCTGTTTTGAATTCTTACTAAGGCTATTGGTGGAATTCTATGAAAAGTAGAATTCTCGTAAGTGCTTCTTTGATAACACTAGGTAACAAAGTTTGCAAAATGTAATGTGCCTGGTTTGAAAGTGTTATTTCCTGTTTAATTGTGTGGTCCTTCCTTTGAAAGTAGTTGTTCTACTCCAGAAACCTTGTTTTGTGGCTGTCACAAACTAGGCTGCAATTGGCTGAGACTCAATGAGCTATTCATTGAAAAACTATAGCAAAATGTGCTGCGGGATGTCCCTCCTGCACAAACAAAGTTTTGGCAGTTTCATATACCTTCTCCATGTTTTTATGATAGAACCAATTAGGAAATGACATTTATAATCCAGGAACAAAAATTCTGTTACATAGTGTTATTACTAGGCGATTTGCTGGAGTCCTTTGGGATAAAAACGAGGGCAACACACGCTAATTATTCTGTACTCTCCCTGAAAACTACCAAATTTTGCTTCTATTACCAACATTTCCAGGACTTAAAACTATAGTCAAGTGACTGGAAATCCATCTTAGGCTCCAAAAATAAAAAGGCAGGCAAAGTGGCTAAGGAAATAATGCATTATTTTGGGAGTCTCAGCAAAGCTAGAGATTTGGGGTCTGGAAGCAAAGCCCCACGGCCTTGTTGTACACCCAAAAGTTACACTTGCTAGTGTTTTTAATCCTGCTTCTCCAATCTTTGCAATGCTATGTAAGGACTTTTGGGGGGACAGGAAAGCCTTTGGGCTGCGGAACTCACTCAGGTCCAGAACGTCGTCTGTCTTAATCAAGTCCTCTTCCCTCGTCAAAGGCAGCTGCGTCTCTGGCTCGTCCTGAAGATGCAGGGAGAGGGAGCGCAGCATGAAGAAGACCCGGATGGCCTGGAAACACAAAGGAGAGAGCTCATAGCATATCAGAATCAGAGTTGGAAGGGATCCCTAAGGGACATCCAGTCCAACCACCTTCTGACTTCAGGCAGGAAAAGTACAATCAAAGCCCCCACAACAGATGGCCTTCGGCACTATTACAATTTGAGAAGTCAGCCACAGCAGAGCACCTGGTGAACCAACTTGGACCTAGCATATAATTTGAGAACACAGAAATGCTGAACCACGCTAACATCCACCATGTCAGACTACACAGAGAAGCCATTGAAATCCACAAGAATGTGGACAACTTCAACAGAAAGGAGGAAACCATGAAAAAAACAAAAACAAAATCTGGCTGGTATTAAAAAAAAAKCCCTCTAAAATCAGGACAGTAAATAAAGAACAGCACTCAAAAAAGCAGGGGAATTCCAGACAAGAATTAGTCAGGGCCAGCTAACACCTACTAACAAAGGATTCCCTCAGGCTGCAACCAGCCAGGATATGAAGCTGCAAGGCCATTCAATGCTAATCAAGGTGGCCAATGGCAACATTCACACTTGCCTCAAGCAGACAAGAGTTCTTTCTCCCACCCTGGACATTCTACAGATATATAAACACCACTTGCCTAGTTTCCAAAAGACCTCACAACCTCTGAGGATGCCTGCCATAGATGTAGGTGAAAGGTCAGGAGAGAATGCTTCTGGAACATGGCCAGACAGCCCGAAAACACACAACAACCCAGTGATTCCGGCCATGAAAGCCTTTGAGAGCACATCTTCCAGCCTCTGTTTCAAAGCCTCCAAGGAAGGCTCCTCCACACTCTTGAAGCAGAGAGTTCTACTATTAAACAGCTCAGGAAGTTCTTCCTAATGTTCAGATGGAATCTTTTCTGTCCTTTGAATCCATGGCTCCATTAAGTCCTAGTTTCTAGGGCAGCAGCAGAAAGGAAGTCTGTTCCTTCTTCCTTATGAAAGCTCCTTATGTGAGCAGGGATTTATATAGATAATGTTTATTGATTAGTCCATTGACCATATCAACAATAAAACACAAAAAGAAAAAAAATATGTAGACAAATAGACACCCATTTATATAGATTTTTAATAATTTAAACTCTCTTATTGAGTTACTACCTCTACGTAAAATTATATTTATAACACTATGTAGCAAAATTTGAAAAATGGTCTGTTCCTGGTTTGAAAGTACTATATGTACTTGAGTATAAGCCAAGGCACTTAATTTTACCACAAAAAACTGGGAAAACTTATAGACTCGAGTATGAGCCGAGGGTGGGAAATGCAGCAGCTACTGGTAAATTTCAAAATAAAAATAGATACCAATAACAATACATTAATTGAGGCATCAACAGGTTAAATATTTTTGAATATTTATATAAAACTGTAATTTAAGATAAGATCAATTCTGATTAAATCATTAGTCTAACCTTCTTCAAGATAACTGTGCTTACGTAGCCTTCCAATAATATCCATAGTTTATTTAAACCATACATTTTGGGGGAAATGTTTTGTGTATATGAATAAGGAAAAGTGGGAAAGACTGGAGTCGAGAGAGGAGGAGAGGAAGGCACTGTGTGCGCTGTGTGAGAGGAGAGGAAGGAGAGCTGGGTTGCTATGCGGCGAGTTGAGGGTCCTGGCAGGAAGGCATGGGGCTGAAAGAAGATCTTCTTTCAGGCCCCACGACTTCCTGCAAGGACCTTCATCCGAGTATAAGCCGAGGGGAGCTTTCTCAGCCTAAAAAAAGGGCTGAAAATTAGGCTTATATTTGAGTATACACAGTATTGCTACATGTTCAATTGTGCAGTATTTACTGTGAAAGTAGTTGTTCCACTCCAGAAACTTTGTGGAATTGGTTGAGATATTCATTGCGTCTCAACCAAAATGTGCTTCAGGATGTCCCTCCCGCAAAGATAATGTTTTTGTAGTTTAATGACATTTCCCATGTTTTTATGATAGAACCAATTAGGAAATGATGTTTACACCCCAGGAACAAAAATTGTGTTACATAGTGATCTGCTTTGAACTAGATTTGGGATCAACCGGTGAGGCAGTTTTCTGCTTCCCGGGGTTTCTTTCAGAGAAGACGTCTTCCTTGGTGGCCTCCCATATGGGGGCCAATCAAACCAGGCTCTTCTCAGCTTCTGAGACCAACAGAGCAGGGATTTGGGGTCTGTTCTGACAGCCACAAAGCCTCTGAATAAAAACCATTCTTGGCTGCGTTCCTTTCGTGGAAGGGATGACATATTGCCATTTATCATGAAGGGTTATCCTTTGGTTTCTCGATCAGCAGAACATTCTTGGAAGCCCTGTTTATCATGACTGTTTTTCATAGTACAGTGGTTCCCCTCTTATCTCGAGGGTTTGCTCAGACTCAAATTTCTAGGAAAGGAAATGGGAGTGTTTCTGGTTTCCTAGAAGGGAAGCGATAGCTTCGAGAGGTCGATCCAATGATTGCGAAAGATGCAGAGAAGCTCTCCGAATGGCAGAAGCTTCAGGACTTGTGACTTTGAATGGGCATGCTCATTCTTCCTTCTGCATCTAAAAGTGACGGCTGCATTCCAGGGAAGCTTCTCTGCGATTCGTTCAAGAAGCAGCTTTGGGTCAGACTTATCGCTTTTGCTTATCTTTTGAGAGCCACAAACCACATCCCGAGAAGTGTTTTGCAGCACATTGGCTTTTCTTTTTAACCAGCTATTTTTTGTGCCAGTTTCTAAAGAAAAGATGGGTTTAGCCACAGCGACTGGCCATATCTGAGCTACAAATATCTGACTTACAAATGACTCCTAGTTAAGAACAGGGCTGAGACAACAGGAAGTGAAAGGAATCTTCCCCTTGGAAGGAAGGGAAATCCACTCCTGGAAGAGTTATTATCACGGGGGAAAGGGGTCTCCACTGACGATTTATCACCAATCCTTGTTTCTAAACAAGCCAAATTTTCCAAAATCCAATTATCACAGGAACAGAAAGTGACTTGGAAAGTTCTGAACAGAAGCGCAGACAGCAAAGCAAACCTCTCAGGGTGCTAACCCTTCATTATGCCATCCAAAACATACACACACACACACACATGTTACAGAACCAATCTTGTTTGTAACTTGGGGACTTCCTGTAATATAATAATATTATAATGTCATAATTGTTAAGATGATTAAGAGTTACCCAGACTCCTGCACCTACTTCTTGGTTTCTTTAGGTCTGTAGGTCCCAACCTGTGGTCTGTGGATCACCAGTGGTCCACAATAGCAAAAATATGTTCCACAGCCTCACCATTATCACACTGTTGCCTTGAAACCATGTGGCAACGAGAGTGACTGGCCTTGTGAAACCCTCTTAGTGCTGAGGCAATGGGATGTCAGGAGGGGAGAGGCTGACTACTCATGAAAGATTACTACGACCACCTCAGCTCTAGATTGTTAAATATGGTTTTCTGTGGGCAAGCAGATGGCGACTACTGGATGGCATATGTTCTGTATCAGAAACTAGAGCTGATGTGGTCTATCCAATGCAATTTTCTGAATCAGCGCCCCAAACAACCAAACTGAATCTAAAGTTGATCAAAAACCGATTCGTAACCCTTTGGGTACTAATGTTAGAGAGTGGTCACTAGTCAAAGTGGTCTCTGGTCAAGTGGTCCCTGGTCAAAACAAGATTGGGAACCACTGCTTTAAGTTAAGCAATGCTCATTTGGAAAAGGAAATGGCAGTTAGAGAGGCATTTCGAAGTCTAACTGAAGTAAAGAAAGGACCCAGATTTGCATCTGATAACACTTTCACAATACATCCAGCAAATTGTGAAACCTTTCAAAAGTTATACTATAAAAAATCTGTTGTGTCAGGCTTTCAAAAGCATGGGGCTAAATCCAGTTGTCAGGGCCAGGAAGAATAAACAAACTCCACAGGGGTGTTCACCCTTCCGTATGCTATTCAAAGCTAATACAGTAGAGTCTTGCTTATCCACCATAAATGGGCTGTCAGAACGTTGGATAAGCGAAAATGTTGGATAATAAGGAGGGATTAAGGAAAAGCCTATTAAACGTCAAATTATGTTATGATTTTACAACAAATCGACAGAAAAAGCAGTTCAATAAACGGTAACATTATGTAGTAATTACTGTATTTACAAATTTAGCACCAAAACACTGCAATGTATTGAAACAGCTGTGGATCCAGGCAGAATGTGTTGGATAATACAGAATGTTGGATGAGTGAAGGCTGGATAAGCAAGACTCTACTGTATATATTTTTGGCTAGAGTTACACTGAAAAAATGTTCTTTTTCTAGCTTACATACAAATTCAGCTTAAGAACAAACCTCGATAACCCCTCTTGTTCATAACTTCGGGACTGCCTGTGTATATCTATCAATCAATCTATCCTTCTGTTCGCTGCTGGCCGATGGGAAGTAGCAGCCAATAATGAAAGGACCAAGGTAGTGACATCTCTGGCCCACCCCTTGTTCAGATATCAGCCAGCATGGCAATGCCTTAAATCAAGAAATAGCTTCCTAAGATCTACAGAGATACTTGCAAGAACACCTCAGCAAGTGAGAGTCCAAAAGTGGCAGGCTAAAACCCGGAACCTCCACCCATGGCTGATACCAAATGAGAGACTCCCTCCTGGGCACACAGAAGACTGGCTGACTTGGAAGGTGCTGAACAGACTGTACTCTGGCACCACAAGATGCAGAGCCAACCTTAAGAAATGGGGCCACAAAGTGGAGTCCACGATATGTGAGTGTGGAGAAGAGCAAACCACAGACCACCGATTATAATGCAGCCTGAGCCTTGCCAAATGCACAATGGAGAACCTCCTTATGGCAATCCCAGAGGCACTCCAAATGGTCAGCGACTGGTCAAAGGACATTTAATATAATTGCCAAGTTTTTAAACTTTGTGTTTTTTTTAAATACACTATAACTGTACCTTTGATTCGCTCCTGACATGATAAATAAATAAATCTATTATTGGCTGGAGTTGCACTTAAACTATGTACCTGTTCTGACTTGCAAACAAATTCAAATTAAGAGCAAACCTACAAAACCCCTCTTGTTCACAACTTGGGGGCTGCCTATACTTTCTTTGGTTTCAGAGTTCTGGAAAGGGAGTTGCGCCTCAGAGCCTAGAGTCAATACAATACTACCCACCCTCCGCGTTCGCTCGACGTCTCCACAGGGCAGCCGCTTCACAAAGTCGATACCGGTGAGGGGTGTCCCGGTGGGTGGCAGAAGGATGGAGGCGTCCATCATCAGGTACTCCACATTCATAGGTTTCAGCTGGGAAAAGCATGCGGGCCTTCAGTCAGTCTCTTCAAAGGGCAGAACAGAGCCCTGTCCTTAGACATCTTCCCATCACCCCAGAAGGAGAAGCCCCGTGTTTCTTTCGACCTTCCCATGAAGTGCTTGCATACAGAGCAATTGGGGACAGAGGAAAGCCTGGGACACAGGCCTGCTGCCTAATTTTCACCTGTTTCTTCTATGGAACTCAATGAGTTTTACTACTTCCTGTCTGCATGATGTGCTCACTTCCCCCTTCTTCCCTAAAGTGGTTTATTATCCTCCTTTGGTGGGGAAGAGAACATCATGAGGCCTCTCTCTTAATCACAGACAGGAGAATCAGCATGAGGGACTCTTCCACCAAAGTTAGGTCATTTTCTTTTCTCTATCTATTCTCTTATCTGTATTACGACAATAAAAGTAAGTTTTGGGCCCCTTCTAAGCCTGACTGTGTGTATTACCTCTTCTGTTTCCAACCATAAGCTCATATATAGCATTGGCTAAGGTGCACCATATTCTGCTATAGAGGCCAAATATTTTGACAGTCTGGTCTCTTCAAACCACTAAATTGGCTTCTTGACAGGTCAGTCCAGTCAGTGTTTAACTATGAATGTGAAATTCATGTCCACGTTTTAATGTATATATTTATTTTACTATGTATGTCCATATGGCATCAAATTGCTGCCTATATATGTAAGCCGCCTTACAGGGTGAGAAGGGCGGGGTATAAATATGGTAACAAAATTATTTATATGTATATATGTGTGTGTATGTGTATGTATATATCTCTGTGTGTGTGTATGCGTGTGTGTGTGTCTATATATATATATATATATATATATATATATATATATATATATATATATATGAACATGACAGAGTTGGGACAGATGTTCTGGTGTTTACTGCGTTTTAATAATTGTTCTGGGTATTTTAATTATTATATGGATGTCTGCTCATGTTTCTATTGCTTTTATGTCTATGTAATCATTTATTTATTTTATGTGCGGCACTTTGGAATGCTTTGTTAGCCGCCCCGAGTTCCTTTGGGAGATGGTGGCGGGGTAAAATCAAATATATTATTATTATATATTAATATTAATAATACTAACATGACAGATTAGTGACAGGACATCCTTGTGTTTACTATATTTTAATCTTTGTCCTGTGTATTTTAATCTAGGTATTTCATAGAAATTCAATATACCATCTATACTCTATAAGCTGACCCGAATATAAGCCAAGACACGTAATTTTACCACAAAAAACTACAAAAACGTATTGACTCGAGTATAAACCAAAGGTGAGAAATTTAGCTTGTACTCGAGTATATACAGTATGCGTTTTCCAAAAAGCATTATGAATAAGAGTTTTTGACTATTTTATGTTCTGCCTTGAGCAGCGAGAAGTGGGTAAGAAATAATAGTAATAATAATAATAATTTGTATAATTTCCCAAGCAGTTAGTCCTACTATTTATTATTTTTGCAATTCAAAGATGAGTAGCTACTCCCTTTTCTGTTTGCCCACCGAGCCGTTGACTAATGACTTACTGTCATGCTTCTGTATTCATCTTCAAACATATCCAGAAAAATCTCTTCTCCCTTTAAAGAAAAGGAGACATATGTGAGATTTTCCCCTCCCCCTGCCATCAGGATTCTTAAACCAGCCAAGCTTTTTATCTCCCATTAAAAAGAGGGTCTGAAACCCGTCTCACATTGCACTCTTCTCCATTCTGCAAGCGAAACCTTTGGCCAAAACAAGGGATGACCCCAACAGAGACCATTTATTTGAGTTTTATTGGACGATGGGGAACTATCTTTTACAGGCAAACAGGCCATGATATTTATATCTGAACTTTATGGGGAAATGTATACTTGGGAAGGAGACTGTTTAGCTTCTCGGCAGAAAGAAATTGCCCTGAACCTGAAAGCAACAAGTAGGAATGCAGCTTTTCAAGTTGTATGACAAGTTCTGTTTCATAAAGCGAGGGAAAGGAGGAATGGAATAAATACCTTGTAAAAACGCCGCACCAAGTGGACACTTTCTTCCCTCGCACCCTAAATGGGAAAAAAAGAAAATTCAGTTATTATTTCAAGCTTGTTATCTGTAGATGAAGGTTATATAATATTTATGACTATTTCCAATGATCATCTCAAAGACTAAGCCCTTTAATTATGAAATTCAATTGGGTTGCCCTCCATTCCAGACTAAGGCAAACCTATCGTGGGATTTCCTTCCAAGGTCCGTTCAGAGGGGTTTGACATCCAGGGCCTTCCTCTGAGGCTGAGAGAGTTTGACTCAAAGCCCAGTGGGTTCCCACAGAAGAACAGAGATTTGAACCTGAAGTCTGAAAATCAGAGGGATCCCAATCTTCCACAGAGCTAAAAGGAAGACTCACTTCCAGACAGGCGAGGTGAATGTCCTTGATGATGCTCCGGGCTTTGGTCATCACCAGCTGCTTGAGCAGGATGCAGCCCAGTTCCAAGGTGGCCAAGCGGATCTTGCCATCTGTAAGGAAGGCGAAAGGAAGGATGTGGCAGCTAAAAAGGCCAAGGCGATCCTAGGCTGCATCCACAGGAGTCAAGTCTCCAGATTGAGGAAAGTCCTAATCTCATTCTGTTCTGTTTTGGTCAGACCTTCTCACCTGGAATAACAACTCTGCGTCCATTTCTGGCCAAAAGACATTCAAAAAGGAGACGGACAGGTGGGAAGGTGTCCAAAAAAGGGTGACCCACAAGCATAATATAGATAGATATATATGATTCACACACAGAGATATAGTATCATAGATTTGAATGGGACCCCTAAAGAAGGACAATTATATGTTGCATGTTCCAGAGTAGGCAAACTAAACAATCTCCACCTCAACACTGACAAAGACACAGCAAGAAATACTGTTTACCCACAAGCATAAAGAAATGTCTGGATACTATGAAACTCTCTGAGAAGCAGTGGAGGGAGATGGGGATGTTTCGTTTGGAGCAGAGAAGGCTGACCGAAGGGGACACGGAGGCCATATTTACATCTTTGAAAGGATGTCCGACTGAGGGGACAAAACAGAGCAATGGATTCAAATGGGAAGAAAAGGGATTCCATTTCAACACAAGGGAAACCTTTCTGGTGGCTAAAGCTGTGCAACAGTGGAATGGAGTCTCCTTCTCTGGAGGCTGTCTAGAAGAGGCTGGATGACCATCTCTTGAGTCGGGGGCTTGAAATATGTCTTCCTTCCTGGCAAAAGGGGATTGGACTGGATGGCCCTTGGGATCTCTTCCAACTCCAGGATTCTAGAGTTCTATTATTATTAAGTAGAGGCTGGATGGCCATTTGTCGGGAGGGCTTTGATGGTATTTTATGGCATAATGGGGTTGGACTGAATGGCCTTTAGAGTCTCTTCCAGCTCTAGGATTCTAGAGTCCTATTTGTATTAAGCAGAGGCTGGATGGCCATTTGTCGGGAGGGCTTTGATGGTATTTTATGGCGGAATTGGGTTGGACTGGATGGCCTTTGAGTCTCTTCCAGTTCTAGGATTATAGAGTTCTATTATTATTAAGCAGAGACTTTGGAAGACCATCTGCCAGGAAGGCTTTGATGGTATCTTTATGGCAGAATGGGGTTGGACTGGATGGCCCTAGGGTACTCTTCCAGCTGTAGGATTCTATAGTTCTATTACTATTATTAAGCAGAGGCTCAATGGCTATCTGTCAGGAGGGCTTGGGTTGTGTCTTCCCACCTGGCACAATGGAGTTGGTCTGGATGGCCCTTGGGCCCCTTCCCACCCCATGATGGTATGATCCTGGGAACTTTTGTGGACTTATTTGGGAGATTTCTGCAGCATTGGTCAAAAATATTCGAGCTCTCTTCCATTTCCCCAAAAGGATTCCTTACTTCAAGGGCCTGCCAGCCACTGCCCTGGTTCTCCAATTCTGCCGACAACAACACTTTGCGATTATTGTTTTCTGACCACTCAGTCTCCGGCTTCCCTCTCTATGCTTTTATTGCCATGAATTGCTTTAAGGTCAGGAGGTAAGCAAAATATCTGCTGTCTTTCTCTCCATTTCAGAACAGAGCCTGGCCTTTCCACCTGTTTTAGGCCAGATCCCAGCGCTTCCCAGGCGACACTCCTCCTCACCTGGCTGCGCAGCAAAGTTCATGATCCGGATGATCCTTTCTGCCAGAACGGGGTTGTAGGTGTTCTTCTCTTCTGCCCCTTCGGCCGACAGCTGGATCCGTTCCAAAGTGACGGGCTGGATTCCTGCAAAGGAAGGAAGGAGCGTTTATTGGACCTTGGGGCCGGTTTGGCCGGACATGAACCGAGCCAAAGGCAAAGGAAAGGGCCCACTTTGCTCTGCAGCCACCCACCCAGACATCTGCAAAAGGAGGCCAAGAAGAAAGAGAGACGCCCATTAATTCTCTTTAAAAGAGAATGGACAAGAGAGGAGGATGCAGACGGAAGAGGTTGAGAAGGAGAAGCAAAGCTGAAAGGTGTTCCTTGTCAAAAGGTTGGGAACAATTCCATAATCCAACATTCTCAAATCTCAGAATTTGTTTTTCTGACTGCCTTCTGCGTCTCTCAGCATGATGTAGTTATGTGGCCTTGTGATGTGTTACATACCAGCCTCCATCAATCGTTTTAGGGAAAGTTCAAGAGTTTTTATTTGATATTTTATCACTCCATGAAATTTGTAGAACTCCAAGGGCATGTTTCAAAGGTGTTGGTTACTTTCTGATAGGGAATGCAAAGGCATATGGGCCTTCCCGAATTATTGCACTGAATGATACAATTCAGGATCCTGTCCAATTCCTTCCACTTTGTAGTATCTTTTTTGATCGATGTACAGATATAATCTTTAACCATTTACAGGACTTTGTCCCTTACTTTAAACTACCATATATACTTAAAGATAAGCCAAGTTTTTAGCCTTTTTGGGGTGGAAAAAGCCTCCCTCGGCTTATAATGAGGTCAAGCCATGCAACAGAGCCTGGAAGCCATTGCTTGCAATATGATATATTTCTCTCTCCTCTTCCTCTCCCTTAACAGTGTGTTTTCTTTCCAAATCCTCGCTCGCTCGTTCAAGAGGGAGAGAAGCCCTTGCAAGTCAGAAATATCCATTAATCTTATAAAAGCATTTTCCTCTGAAATATTTGTTAATATCTCCTACAGATATATAGGCATTTCCCCCTGCAAGCCTTTGCAATCCGTATGTACCTATATATCATCTGTCTCTATCTATCTATCTATCTATCTATCTATCTATCTATCTATCTATCTATATACATTAATTTTATATATGAATTTTTCTCTCATATACTTGCAGGTCTTTGCAAATCCTATATACATATAGATGTCTAGAGATTCCCATGTACCTGTATCCACATGTATACATTATTTTTACATATGAATTTTCCCCTTACATGTTTGCAAGTTGCTGCAAATCCTAAATATAGATATCAATAAATATATAGAGGTACCTATATATCTGTATATCTCTCAGTGTATATATATGTGTGTGTGTGTGTGTAGTGTATGGATGTATGTATGTGTGTGTATATATATATATAAATATATATATATATAATTTTATGTATGAATTTTCTCATCACATGTTTGCAAGTCTTTGCAAATTCTGTATAGATATAATTATCTACATATAAAGAGATGTCTACACAGATATATATGAATCTAGATATAAAGGGCTTGCAAATATTACAGGGGAAATGCACACACAAACATACAGAGACATGTCTAGATAGATATGAATATAGATATATAGGGCTTGCAAATATTACAGGGGAAATGCACACACACACACACGCACAGAGATGTCTTGATAGATAGAAACAGATATTTATTTGTTTACTGTACTTATACCCCACTCTTCTCACTCCCGGAGTGGGACTCAAATATAAGGCTTGCAAATATTGCATGAGGGAAATTCACATATAAAGGGAGAGGATTTGCAAATGTTTCAGGGGGAAATGCATATGTTAAATTAATATACATAATTATACATCTGTATCTAGCTCTGCATTGTTAACATAGGGATTGAATGTTTGCCTGATACAATGTTGGAAGCCTGTCTGAGTCCCCATAGGGCGATAGTATAATAATAAAATGAAATTATTATTATTATTATTATTATTATTAAGTTATTGTTAATACTATATTGTTTTTGTTGACCTTACTTTTCCACTTACAGAGCTAGTTTACTGCTTTTCTCTGAAATATGGTAAATATTCTAAACTTTGACCTACTATTGCCCCAATTAATGTAATATTATTGTTATCTATTTTTATTTTGAATTTTTCCAGTAGCTGCTGCATTTCCTATTTTCAGCTTATACTCAAGTCAATAAGTTTTCCCAGTTTTTTGTGGTAAAATAATGTGGCTCGGCTTATATTTAGGTCGGCTTATACTTGAGTATATACAGTAATCTTCTGTGCTTATACATATTTATATAAATAAAAATGTAATGTTCGTTTGTGGGATTAACATAACTCAAAAACTACTGGATGAATTGAAACCAAATTTGGACACAAGACACCTACTAACCCAAGGAGTGACCATCACTCAAAAAATCGATTTAGTCATTTGGGAGTTGTAGTTGCTGGGATTTATAGTTCACCTACAATTAAAGAGCACTCTAAATTCCACCAAAGATGGAATTGAACCAGACATGGCACACAGGACTCCCATGACCAACAGAAAACACTAGAAGGATTTGGTGGGCACTGACTTTGACTTTGAGAGTTGTAGTTCACCTACATCCAGAGAGCACTGTGGACTCAAACAATGATGGATTTGGATCAAACTTGGCACAAATATTCAATATACCCAAATAGGAACACAGATGGAGTTTGGGGGAAATAGACCTTGAAAATTGGGAGTTGTAGTTACCTACAATCAAAGAGCATTCTGAATCCAACGAACGACAGAATTGGGGCAAACTTCCCACACAGAACCTCCATGACCAACAGAAAATACTTAAGGCCATTCAGTCCAACACCCTTCACCAGGGCAAGAAAACATAATCAAAGCCCTCCTGACAAAGAGCCATCCAGCCATAGATATAGATATATGATTCACACACACTCAGATATAGTATCATAGATTTCAAAGGGACCCCTAAAGAAGGACAAATATATATATAATTTGGGACTGTACCCATAAAACGGACTTTGGGGTTTGCCAGTTGCCCAAGAAAGATTTCCCTCTGCAGCCCTGCCCATGATTTTGGCCTCACAGCCTCCTTTATGCACAAAGGTTGCAGCTTGGTTCAATGACTCAATCTCCTGAATTTGGGCCCAAATGTGATAACTGGATCGAAGAAGGGAGCAGAAAGCGAAAGGAACAACTGAGCAGTTTAAAGCCATGGCACACAATGAACTTGTTCCTGTAACAAAAGAGAGGCTATTTCTCAGAAGCCGTTGGTTCCAAATATCCTGCTATGCATGGGGTCTTTTGCAATGTTTCTATTCCTAATTCTGCCAAAGGAATGTTTCTATGTAATGGCTACTAAACAGCTGGCTCTGGCCTCCTCCATCTGCCAAACCCTGGACTCTTGGAAGTGAAAGCCTTTCCCGTAACACGACTTCTGATCTCTTCTCCCTGCAAATGAGAGAGGCCTGGTTTTTAAGGAGGCTTCTGAAAACGGTTTAATTAAAGAAAAGCTGTTCAGATAAAAGAGGCAATGCTAGCATTTAATAGGACTGGATCACGCCTCCCATTATGTCTGAGGAACATCCCGTGTTTTGCCTAGAGCCGGGGCTTGTGCAAATAATATGCAAGTTCAAAGAGAATGCCTGAGTTCCCAGGAACTGCTAATCTGATTCAGAGGTTATTCTGTACTCATTTATTTATCATGAAGCTCCGCACTTAGCGGGTAATTATTCTGAAGAACCAGAGGTCAAAGGAGAAAGGAAGGCAACTTTCCAAAAAAGGAGCACCTCTAGCTAAACCAGAAGTGGGCGAAGAGAAGTGAAAAGCAGAGGGCAGATTTTATAGACAAGCAGCTGTTGCACAAAATAGCACCATTTGCAATTTGATGCTGACTTGGAAACATTTGCAATAAAACTCCGTCCATTTTTTAAAACTTTCTGAGTCCATATTTCAAATGACACCCAAAGGAGATATTTCAGAAGGCCTTTGCTCCCAAAAGTCCAAAGTGGGATTCATCAGGATGACAGAAGCGAAGGGTCTTCCCCTGCCACCACTTCGCTGCCACCAAAAATTATTGCCCTGGAGCCGCATCTGCTTCGATTTCCTGGAAGCAATCCATTAAGTGCTCGGCTTGTATCACCCCCTGGATGCCCTCATGGAGGAGAAGCCCGCGTCTTCCAAAAAAGCGTCATTTGCAGAGCACGCTGAAAAGAATGGATGGCGGAAACACCCACAAAGACTGAGTACAGGAGGGGAGAGCTCGGGAAGAGTGGGCATTTTCTGCCAATTCTGTTCCCTTTCTGCCCCCCAAGTTTAAGAGTGCTTTCTGAGCAAACTTGGAAGGAAATCACATAGTTTTTGGGAGATTTTCAAGTTGGGGTTCAGGGGATGCATATGGCTTATGAGCTGGAATTTGCTCACCCCTGATTTAGGATCAGCACCAACTTTCCGTACCTCGTGAAGTCGGATTTGGCCACAGTGGTCCACGCCTTAATTACCTCTAGATTGGACTATTGCAATGCTCTCTACGTGGGGCTACCCTTGAAGATGGCCTGGAAACTCCAACTGGTCCAACGGGCAGCAGCCAGACTATTAACTGGAGCGAATTTACAGAGAGCGGTCAACCCTCCTGTTTAAGGAGCTCCACTGGCTGCCGTTTATCTACCGGGCCCAATTCAAGGTGCAGGTCTTGACCTACAAAGCCCTGAACGGTTTGGGACCCTCCTACCTGCGTGACTGTATTTCCATCTACGAACCCACACGATCCCTTCGATCTTKTGTAGAGGCCCTTCTTTTACTCCCACCCCCACCCCTACCCCTACCCCTACCCCTCCACATCGCAAGTGCGACTTGCAGGGACGAGAGAGAYGGCCTTCTCTGCGGTGGCTCCCCGGCTCTGGAACTCACTTTCCAGAGACATTAGACAAGCCRCCACACTGGCAATCTTKAGGAGGAATTTGAAAACCTGGTTATTCCAATGTGCCTTCAGTGATTGAATGAAAGATTCTCCCTGACCGCACTTTGCACAAAATGTCCTTAGACGCACTTTACTTTATGGGTTGTGCAATGAAATCCTTCCTCATTCCTGGAGTCTCCTCCTTATAAGTTACTCTGATCTATCTACCAGTGTTTTAAATATTTTCTATAATTTTATCAATGCATCTGGCCCTACCTAGTGAAATTTCCTGTGTTTTTAATGCTTGATTTGATATTGCTGTGTTGTATATTATTTCAATTTTGCATTTTATGTATTTTGCATGTTTTGTTGTATTTATATTATAGCTTGTATTGTATTGATGGGTATGGTCTCATGTAAGCCGCACCGAGTCCCCCTGGGAGAAATGGAGTGGGGTATAAATAAAGCTTTATTATTATTATTATTTCACTTGTTTTTGACTCCACATAAATACCCTCAAAACAGGTCCTGGTTGATTTTTGGAAGCTAAGTCGGGCCACCTGTGGTTAGTTCTCGGAAGCCAAACCTATGGGCTCAGTCTCAGAGGAAAGGCCTTGTCAGGGTCCTCCAAAGGGCCATGCGTTACCTTTGTTGTGGGACATGGCGTAGAGGAGGCAGAGCACAAACAGGGCGTAGTAGTCAAACTCGGCGCATTCCAGGGCATTATAGACCATCTCGAGGAAAGGCCTGGGAAAAAGAGGAACAAAACCCCGGTAAGTCCCTTTGCTGGCATCCTGGCATTTATCATTGTTGACAATTAACATGGAGTCCAAACACAGAAAGGAAACTGAAATGTTACAGCCAGAAGTCTGGCACCAAGATGGGATGCGGTGCTTTTTGGGAGGCCTTCCTTGAAGGCATGTCAGGTTGGAACGTGCACAAGGCATGTGTTTCCCCATCAGGGAGATGTTTGTAGTGTTGTAAATGCCAACATGTTGTGAGCCATACTGCAAGCTGGTGCCTGCTATGCAATGACTCCCAAAGCCATGCATCCTCCATTGGAAATGTGCTGAGCATGGTATCTTGCCTCACTCCGAATGAGAGACGGCTTGCTCAGAGTTTGGCCTGCAGTTCTTGCTGGAACTGTGTCCCTGCATGCCAGTTGGGACACGTTGGAATTCAAAGCGACCCTGGCTGGTTCAAGGACAGGTCAATGTGCCCACAGCAAGATTCAGGAAACGGGTTTCACGTTTGTCTGTTGCTGGTGTGACACATGCAGAGCCAATGTGGCCTTGTGGCTTGAGGTTGGACCAGGGGCTGCGTTTCAGAAGGCCCTGAGCAAAGCCACAATCTCTCAGCCTCAGAGGAAAGGTCTTCGCAAACCTCCTCTGAAGACACACGAAAAACCCACAATAGGGCAACTTAAAAGGTCGCCTCAAGTCAGCACCCACTCGAAGACGCACATCTGCCACAAGTGAGGCCAAACCAGGCATGGGCAAACTTTGGTCCTGCAGGTGCTTTGGACTTCCACTCCCACAATTCCAAATGTGAAAGTCCAAAACACCTGGGGGGCCAAAGCTTGCCTGTGCCTGGGCCAAACTATAGGAAAAACCTTGCTAGAGACCCCCAATCTCTCTTTGTACCTGTTCCAGTTGGACATTCCCGAAGCAGCTGCGCTCTTTTCTTCATCCGTGATGTTTTGCTCCGTGACAGAAATCAACTTACACCGCTCCATGATGACCATCTCAATTTCTAAAGGCCCAAGTTTGAGAGAGAGGTGCATTCATGAGACAAAATATGAATTCAAAACCAAGATCCAGATTCTTGGAAGCCATTCTGTCCAGCCTACATCATAATAATGTTTCAGAAAGAAATTCTGTGTGACACCAATTCAATGGTTTTTCCTTTCTCCTTGGCAGTCATTGAAATTCAAGCTTAATGTATTTCCAACATGGCAGTTGACAGTTATGGGAGGCTTTTAGATAAAGAATTTTACCTTAGATGATATATATTGTATCCTAAGGGTATTGGATTTCAATAGGCAAGATCTGTAGGTCAATATTGTGCACTGGCTTGAACCAAAAGGAAAGTCAGGTAATAAATAAAAATTATTATTATTATTATTATTATTATTATTATTATGGTGCTATGTAATATAATGCTTCACATTGTTGTGGTTTTATATTGTTGCTCTTTTTATAGTTTTACATTGTCGTCTTTACAGAGAGAAGATGCGGTGTATAAATAAACATAAATATAATAATATTGTTGCCTTTTTACATATTTTATTTATTTGCCAAATGACCAAAGAGGCATGAATAAACAAATGACAAAATGTAGGTTGGCTGGCATCAAGGGGCAAGAAGTAGGACAAGTGTAGATGCAA